GCAAAGGCGCAGGCCGGCTGCTGTGTTAGTACTACGCAGAACAGGAGTACTACCGGTAGGTGTCTTGCCTGAACTGGTAAGCAGCTCTTGCCATCTCTCATGCAACGACTGGACTTTCCTGAGCTACCTGTGGGTGAACTTGGCTGAACCTATCAAGATGCAGCACATCTGAACCCAGACTACCATAATATTTTTTTTTTTAAGGCTACCACAGTAGGCCCAACCAATTCAATGACTACCATAGTAGGCTTAGGGGTAGACGAAGGTTGAGGAAAAGGGGCAACCACGTTGACCAACCAGAACACTGTCCGCGAGGGTAGGGTCCTTTTTCTTTCATTTTATTTTTCATTATCACAGACCATTGCCCTATTCTGCGTCAAGGGTCCGCCTATTGGACCATCCACAAGATGCAGCAGAATGATGTGCCCAGATCCCATTGTGGGACTATCAAAGAATGTATCATTCCTTTTTATTTTTCGGAAGGGTTATTTCAGTAAGAGTTGTGCTCCACATGCTTACTTCCAAGGTGCTTTTCTCCAACCCTGGGGACGCCGTGTGCGCCAAAACACATGAAGGCCCTGAAAATTGCAGGGCCAGCACTGAATATGTGAGCTACGTACTGGTGGTTTAAACCACCAGTACCTTTGATGCTCCCCTTGCCAAGCATGGAAACCCCTGCACGCCCAACCAGCACGGGTCTAGGCTGGCGCCACCAGCAATTTTGTCCCAGTAGGCCACCCCACGAAACCTGCGGTGCATTGTGACACTCAACCTCACGCCCTGCATGACTTCCTGTTCGGAGTGGGAGTGGGCCCAGAAGTGCGGAGTAGGGGGTGTGCCAAGGATTTTAGGAAAGGCGGGGTTGGAGTCCCAGGTCGGAACTGAGATCTCCGATGTCAAGATTCCGAAGGCAGGACAGGAAGCGGTCCAATCAAGGAGGGTAGCGGAAGGACTTCAATCAATCATAGGAAAAGGAGGACAATCAATTATAGGAAAAGGAGGACAGACATGAAACGTTGCTTATACTAGGGGAGAAGTTCAGTAGCCAAAGGGACTGAACCAGGGCCGAGACCATCGCCGTCTTTTCCCAGGCCGAAAGATGTCTGGGAGGAAGTAAGGGTCCCGTTGCTCTGCCACGTGGCACCTGCGGGGCTCGCAGAGTTCTGAATCCGACGTGGAAGGCCCCAATCAAAGGCCTCTGATGCGGAGATCTTCCTCGCTGCGAGCCCAATAGGGAAATCCTGTGACGCCCAACCTCACGCCCAGCGCGACTTCCTGATCGGAGTGAGAGTGGGCCTGGAAGTGCGAAAAGGGGGTGTGCCAAGGATTTTAGGAAAGTGGGGGTGGAGTCCTAGGTCGGAACTAAGATCTCCTATGCCAAGCTTCAGGAATATGTATGCAAGTGGGTAGGCGAGGCCCGGGGTTCTGTTTTAGGCTTCAAGGAGTGAGACAATCGCCTCTGTTGGTCCCATCGTCTAGGGCGGATCCGTATTCTGTGTATGGCAGGGACACATTGGCTATCACGTTGGTTCAATACCTGTGGTCGTCGAGTATCGTAGAGCTCAGAATCAGACGCGGCCGGTCTCGGCCGAAGGCTGTGCTCCCGTCGTTGAGCTTCCGAGCGGGTTCGCCGGATGAAGCCCGACGCTTGGTAGGCGTGGTCTTGCAGGCACTCAGAGCACGGGGGTTGGGGTTAGTAGGGGGCGAGAGTCTGCCAAGGGGCAATGGTCAAGCAGTGAAACGACAATATACAGTGATAGGGCCGGAATTCAGTCTCCAAGATAACAATGTCGAGTTCAGCCACGGTCTGACACGTGTGCCGGATGGGGTATTTGGGGAGGTGGGGAATACGTTCCACGGTCTGACCGATATCCCACTCACAGACACGCTCGGTTCCCGTCGGGTATGGGAACTCCAAACGCTTCGCCCTTGATCGGGCAGACAGACATACTCCCAGAACTCACGATCCCTCAGGCACTCGTGGTCAATGATTTGAAAATGTGTTTCGATATTCATACTGCATACATCCGTGGCGCTCGGCCGTGGGAAAGGAAGGGGGCGAGGGGCCGGATCGGGGGCAGGTCCTGCAGACACGCGTCTATGCAACGGCCTTCCTCGGCCGCGCGTACACGTGAGTGCACAGGATCTTCCGTCGATCATTAGGGGGAATTGCCAGTGGTTGCAGTTTCTAGCACATGCACATTGACCTGTCGTTCCGAAGATGTCGCTTACGGACTTTAGCGTGAAACACGCGTATAATCAACTGGCATGCTCATCCTTATCACATCCAGACAGGGAAACGACGAACACTCACGCATCAAACTTTCAGCCGCTCGCTAACCGGATAACATTTATGGATAATTGGAGATAATCAATCAATCAGGTTGACAATTCAAACAGAGGGAGGAAGGGGCAGAGAGGAGAAACACACAACAATTCAAAAAGAAAAGTCTGAGAGTGGTCGAACCAAAATAAGGACGACTTGCGCCATGCATCAAAATTACTCAGAAGAATCGAAGAAAAGCACCATTCCAACACATCCTCTCTCTCTCTCTCTCTCTCTCTCTCTCTCTCTCTCTCTCTCTCTCTCTCTCTCTCTCTCTCTCTCTCTCTCTCTCTCTC